CCCCCCCCCAAGGGGGAAGAGGGAGGGGTGGAAGAGGATCTGCTCTAGACCACCTACGCCCAGAGGGCTGGTGGGATTTCACGCAAGCTGGGACGCACCTGAGACCTCACGTTGCGGAAACTTGGAACATCGCGAAAAATCGCGAACGGAGCCTTGGCCCCCATGTTTCTGCGACATTTGTAGAGCTGGATCGATCTGTGATGGTCCCAGGACCTGGAACCGGGCGGACAGGTCCAGTGTGCAAACATTGCAACGCCCGGGTCGCAGGGTTGTTTGCACGCCTTTTCGGCCCAGGGCTGTGCTGTTTGAGACAGGCGGCGGAAGGGGGGAAGCGACGTGCGGGTGCGGTCGGGAACTTTGGCTCAGCGTCTCCTCCTCCTCCTCCGCCTCCTCCTCCTCCGCCTTTTCCTCCTCCTCCTCCTCCTCCGCCTCCTCCTCCTCCTCCTCCTCCTCCGCCTCCTCCTCCTCCTCCTCCTCCTCCTCGTCGCTCCGCCGATTCTGGTCCGCCGCGCTGCGGTGCGACACGCTGTCCACTCCGCGGTCCCCGGGCGTCAACGTCTCGAGCTTCTCTGAGCCGCCTCGCGGAGCGGAGCGACACGCTGTCCACTCGCAGGGCGCGGCGTGTCGCCAGGGCCGCCGCCACGACACCTCCTCCTCCTCCTCCTCCTCCTCCTCCTCCTCCTCCTCCTGCTCCTCCTCCTCTTCTTCTTCTTCTTCTCCTCCTCCTCCTCCTCCTCAACCTCCTCCTGCTCCTCCTCCTCCTCCTGACCGTGACCCAGACGTGCGGCGTCTTGGTTTCGCCGTTGCGCGGTCCCGGGCAGTCCTGACACCATCTCCCCGGGGCTGGTTTTGTTCATCCCGAGCCGTGCTTGGACGGCCTAGCTGCCTGGCGAGGGCCCCGAGGCCGAAAGCAGCGAAAAATGTCCCGCCATGTTTTTTTGTGTCAAAAACATTTTGCTCATATGTAAAATCTGTTTATATATATATATATATAGAAGTATTAATTATTTGTTCGACTTGTGCAAGAATGCTTGCATGGACCGGGGGGGGCCTGAACCTGAAGCAAGCCGAAAACAACTTGACGTGCCGATTTCAGAATGGCACTTGCACGCCACATTCGATGGAAGAGGGGAGAGGAGGGGACGGGGGGGGGGGCGGGGCTGGGGCGAACGCCACGCACGTAAACTTGCCTGGGTCTATCGAGAAACTGGCTCTTTCCACGACGCGAGCACGCTTTGGGAGGCTTGCCCGCGTCTGAAGCAAGACGCCCTCCCGCATTGGAGCGCCGGCCGCCGCTGGCTGGGAGGCCGCACGGATGCAGGCGGCGCGTGCGCGCTCCCCTCCTCGGCTCTGCGGCCCCAGGTCGAGCGAGGAGGATTGAGGAAGTGCATCGAGCGTTGAGCCGACGAGGCAGAGAAGCGAAGATCAGAGGAGGACAAAGGTACCCACACCGCTACCCTTCGCTCGTTTTCCTCCTCCTTGGGCCTCCTGAGAGGCCCTCGTCGCCACAGCTGGATCCGCTTCGCAATTCTGGTCAGAACGCACCCCTGGAGAGGCCTGGGAAGTAACAGTATCGGTACCTTCCGGTTTCCCCGAGGAGGCTCGAGGAAGAACGTCGAAGCAAGTCCGGGAGGACGATGACGACGAGCCTCGAGCGCGCGCGATCGAAGTCCAGGCCAGGCAGGAGAGCCCCGGGACGCAGAGGAGGGCGGGTGGAGACCACGCTGGTTGGCCTCTGGGGGGGGCTGCCCTCGTGGCCACGGCTGGACGCAGCGCGGAGATATCTGGTGCCTTGGGACCCCCGGCGGGGGGGTCCGGGGGTCGAGTGTGAAGCTTGCAGGAGCCTGTTTTTTTTATACCCAGGCAAGCTTACTTGCATGGCGTTCGGCCCCCCCACCCCCCCCCCCCCCCCCCCCCCCCCTCTCCCCCCTCGCCCCTCTTCAATCGAACACGAGCGTGCAAGTGCCTTTCGACTTGCGTGATTTCCGCACGTCGAACTGTTTTCGGCTTGCTTCAGACTCAGCCCCCCCCCCCGTCCATGCAAGTAAACTTGCCCGAATCCAAAGAAAAACAGGCAGCAGGCGATTTTCTCCTCCAACCCCTCGACTTTTTGTCGAAAAATGAAGCCGCTCGTGAAAGAAGGGAGGGAAACCTTGGGATACGCTCCAGGGGGCTATTTGGACGCACCTCTATCAAGGATGGAGGCCCCCCACATCGTATATCCCAGGGTTGGGCCCACAACTCTTGGTCCAGTCGAAAACCACCCAAATCCTTAGATAGGGGTCGACATATCCCCTGTTATACGGAGGCGGAGGTTGTTGTGGAGCGGCCTCAAAGTATGAGGAGGAGGAGGAGGAGAAGGAGGAGGAGGAGGAGGAGGAGATGGAGGAGAAGGAGGAGGAAGAGGAGGAGGAGTAGGAGGAGGAAGAGGAGGAGGAGGAGGAGCGGCTTCAAAGTAGGAGGAGGAGGAGGAGGAAGATGAGGAGTAGGAGGAGGAGAAGGAGGATGAGGAGGAGGAGAAGCGCTGTTGTCTTGACTCGGCCTGCTCCAAAGGACGGCATTCGCTGTCCTTCAGGGAGGGGGAGATCCACCCCGGCCCCCCATCGTTTGCGTTTGCCAGGCAGCCCTGCGCGCCAGCTGCGGTCAGGAATCCTGGCTCAGCGTAGAGCAGGGGCAGCGTGTTGCCGGGGCCGCCGTCGCGACACGGTAAGCAAGAGTTCCCGACCGTAGACGTCCCCGTGATGTTCGGTTTCTTATTCAATCGTTTCGCTCATTCTGCCTCTCGTGGGCCGCGGCGCACGCGTCGGCGGGGCCCTCCATCCGGCGCTTCAACTGCTCCGAGACCTCGATGGGCACCGCGATGCGTCGCACGGCCTCGGGGACGGCCCCGGCGTCGCTCGTGTCGGCGTCTGCTCTGGCCTGGTTGCAGGTCATGTCGCTGTACGAGACCGAGTGGGAGGTAGAGAAGCCGGCGGCGCCCATGCACTCGCCTTTCCGCGCGTTGGCCCACCGGGCCCTGCCGAGATCGTCCACGTCGACCCTGCCAGCGCGGTGACGACGCCCTCGGCCAGGAGTCTCTGCGCCTCGGCAGGAGGGGCGGGCGGCTCGTGACTGTTCAGGAGATGCGCCTCGCGATAGGCTCCCAGACGCACCGCCTCGGCAACGCGCGCCAGCCATGGTGCAGACCCACGCACGCACGCACACACACACGCACACACACGCACACACACGCACACACACGCACACACACACACACACGCACACACACGCACACACACGCACACACACGCACACACACGCACACACACACGCACACACACGCACACACACGCACACACACACACACACACACACACACACACCACACACACACACACCACACGCACACACACGCACACACACACACACACACACGCACACACACGCACACACACACACACGCACACACACGCACACACACGCACACACACGCACACACACACACACGCACACACACGCACACACACGCACACACACGCACACACACACACACACACTCACACACACTCACACACACTCACACACTCACACACACACACACACACACGCACACACACACGCACACACACGCACACACACGCACACACACACACAGACAGAGAAAGGTATTCAACATATTTCTGATTGATGGCGCGCGCCCCCAGGAGTGCGGTCGGAGATCCCCCCCACCTTGGCCTGCGGGAAACATGTGAAGTTCCCGACGAGCCCTCCCTGCCGATCGTCTCGAGGACCCCTCTCTTCGGGCTCGGCGATGATCTTGTTCGCGCACACGCGGCCCCCAGGCCAGCGATCGCAGCTCCATGCCCCGCAGTGGCTCGCCGCCGGGTCGGAGAGGAAGTGGAGCTCGGCCCATCCAGTTGTCGTTGGCCAGCGTATTCCTCGGCATTTTCACTCCTGCCGCGCCTTTGCGCACAACGAGTTTGGAGAATTTGTCGCCCCCTGGCTCCGAGCAGCTCCCTCTAAACAACGGCCAGAAGGGTCTGCCGCACTCGACAAACACACGTCGACGCGGGGCGCGCGCCCGTGCTCGTCCGGGCCGAGGCTGGGCAGCCTGCGGGCGCGGAGCGGCCCTCCGCCACTCGCGCCTGCGAGTCGTGCGGCACGAGGGAGGCCCACAGCTCGTGGCGCGGGACGAGCGGCTATCTCGCGGCATACACCGTAGGCGATGCTCAAGAAAACTCAAGTTTTCGGCCAGAGTCTCGATTATTCTTAGCGTTTCAATGTAAACCGCAAGACTTTGTTAGGAATGTTGGGTTTTTCTTCAAGTTCTGAGACCATGAATTTCTGAACCCATGATTTCTTAACCATTTCGCGTGGCGTACCGCTCCACTGCGAGCAGGGCGTGCGCCTTCGCGGGGGCCTCTGGGCGCACGGCGCGGCGAGCCCGGCGCGGCGGGGCCGCGCCCTTTGCTGCAGGGGCAGCTCCGGGGGGCCCGTGACTGCCGGGCAGGCGCGCCCGCCGGCGGCTCTTCCGCGCCACCCCCGGCGCCCTCTGCTCCATCTGCTTGTGCGCGAGGATCCTCTTGCGGATATCCTCCTCCGCTCGCCGCGGCGCAGGCATGCTCCGCTCCGCCTCGGGCAGGTCCACGTGCGCCTCGCCCCAGTGCTCCTGCAACAACTTCTCCGTGGCAAAGTCATGGCCGCACAGGTAGCAAGGGCATGGCTGGCAGCACGCGGGCTCCCTGGGCCACTCGCACCGGCTGCCGAGAATTGCGATGCCCCGGATATAAGCCTCGGTCTGTCGCACCGTGCCCCACAACACACTGGCGGGCATCACTGCCTCCCAGGAGGCCAAGTCCCCGGGCGAGAGCTGCCGGCGCAGCAGGAAGCGCTCGCCTCTGACATCTTGCAGCCGCGCGCGGCGCAGAAACTTCAGGCCATGGAGTAGCAAGCGATCAGGATCGGTTTCCCTCCTGGTCGAGGGCCTCACCTTCAGGTGGCCATGCTCCACGTAGTGACCTGCAACTGCTCGCGCAGTGGGTTCGCCTGCCACTCGGGCCGCTGCGCCTGCGGGATCCTGTCGAGCAGCTGCTGCCACTGCGCCACGTCGCCCGGCGAGAGCTGCTCGCCCGTGGAGGCGCAGGCGCGCCTTCGGGTCAGCGCGCTCTGCAAGTAGCTGCGCGCCCAGAGGCCGTCTTCACGGGGATTGTCTGCAGCCTCGGAAGGCCACCCCCCCGTGCCGCTGGATGCATCCGCCCACCACGCGCAGGCGCAGATCCCCTGGGCAAGATCTGAAAAGCAGCTCCCGCTGCAGCGTGTCGATGCCGTGGCGCTTGTTGGAGGTCCTTTGAAGCGGCGTGCATGCCCGCGGCATTTCAGGAGGGGAAAAAAACACACAGACACAATTAATCGTCGATTCCCAGGAAAACATGGGAAAATATGGGAATTGGGGGGGAAGACAGAAACCCAGAAGATATAGGAAAATATGGGAAACATATTTTTATTTGTGTGTATTTATTTGTGTGTCCTGGGGCCCCCTTTAGCATTGGCCTCGTGCAGCGCGGCCGCCGAAGCCGCCCGCGTCCGCCGCCGAAGCGCCGCCCTCCGCTCGGCATCCGTGGCGGCCGCGGTGCCGGGGGCGCGCTGTCGGGCCCGGCGGGCGGCCTCCCGCACGTCCTCCCCGACCTGCTGTCGGGGGAGCGTAAGACCCGGGCTTGCCAGGAAGAGTGCCGGGCTTCCTGGGCGCCTCTGTGGGCCGCGGCGGTGCCTTCCTGGCGGCGGCGCGGGGCCCTCCCGGCCGCGGCACGGGCCGCGTGGGGCAATCGCGGAGGCTTCCTGGGCCGTCTTGGAGCGCCCGGGGCCCGACGCTGCCGCGGCGCTAACCCGCGTTGAACAATCGGGGGAGCGTAAGACCCGGGTTGGCCAGGACTCGGGTTCGCCATCGTTTTTTGACGACCGCGACTCGGATTTTGACGAGTAGGAATTTCGTGGGATGTCTGCAGCGGGAGGCCTCGTCGAAATGCAGGCTCGGCCTCGTCATTTTTGTTGACGACCTCGTCGGGGATTTCCGAGTCACCTGTACCCGGGTCTTACGCCCCCCTGATGCTGTTGCTTCCTCTTGCGGGTGGAGGCGTTGAAGACACGGGCCGCTTCTCCCAGCCAGTCATCGTCGAGCGCCGTTCCCGCCCCAAGCTGTCTCAACCGGCCACATTCGCCCGAGACTCCCTCGCAAATCTGGCTTCGGAGGTGCCCTCTCCCATGGTTGTTCAGCCACTGTCGCCTGTGACATCCTCGCAACAGTGGTTTCCGAGACGCCCTGGCTGAGGTGTTCGGGCCAATTTCGCCCGAGCCATCCTCGTAACCCTCGGTTCGAGATGCCCTGAGCTGAAGTGGTCAGGCCACTTTCGCCTGATCCGAGGCCCTTTCCTCACACGTGTTTCGTTTTCAGAAGTCCGTGCTCGTTTTCAGGGCCTCTGTCGTTTTCAAACCCGCCGTAATTTTTCAGGGCCCTTTTTTTGTTTCCAGGACCCTTGCAGGTTTTCAGGTGGGGGTCAGGCGTCCTGCTGATGCGGTGGCGGATCCCGCAGCGGGGGCTGCGGCAACGACGGCGGCGGCGACATCGGCGGCGACGGCGGCAGCGGTGGCGGCGGCAAAGCCGGCGGCGGCGCCCGCCACGGCAACGGCGACGGCGGCGGCGCTTGCGATGGCGCCGCCCCCCCCCCCCCTTTGGTCGTCGCCGTCGCCGTCGCCGTCGCCGTCGCCGTCGCCGTCGCCGTCGCCGTCGTCGTCGTCGTCGTCGTCGTCGTCGTCGTCGTCGTCGTCGTCGTCGTCAGCCTGCAGGTTCAAGGAGATTCAACAGCAGGCATGCATCGAACCCGAGCAGACATATCGCATTCGGGCGCACCTTTGCCGTGATGGCAGAGGCAGATGGATGCAGCCAGCCAGGCTGCGAGCGCCCATGACGGCGCGATCCAGCAGCACCTTCGTTGCCTCGGCTGGAACCCGTGTTGGGCAAGTCGCCCAGACCGACTGGAAGAGATCATGGATGAGTGCCACAATTTCGACTTTGTGCAGCTGGCGGGCACCAAGACATCGTGCTCCAACGCAGATGGGCAGGTACACTACCGCCGTGCTGGGGGCAGATTGGTGCTGAAGGCTCCTTGCGAGGGAGGGAGACGACCCGCCCCCTTCAGCAACCCGTCGTGCGGCGTTGCGATAGGGATCCCGCCTCGGGCCCCCCGCTCTGCTGTCGAGCGGACGTGGGGGAGCCCCGCGGGAGCACCAGGCCGCGCCCTAGCAGCCAGAGTGAAGTACCAGAACGTGGACGTGCTGGCGGTGAGTATGTATTTCCCGCCGCAGGGCAAGAGCAAGAAGAGGAGTCAGTACATTGGGATATGTAAGTTGTTAGTTGGATGGTTGGGTGGAGTCTTGGCGGGCATCCCCACGCGATGCACACCTGTGATATATATGGACTTGAATGACGGTATCGGTTACAGCACCACTGAGGGAGGACTGGAACATCTGAATGCGGAGGTTGCGAACGCCCCGACGAGGGAAAGGATTCGCGGAGGTGCGGGAGAGCGAATGAGGGGCTTACTGGCAAAACACAACCTCTGCATGGGCAATGCACGAAGGAGCGCTGTGATTGACACATTTTTCGGCGAGACTGGATCGAGCAGGATTGACTACATAGCCTTCTCTCAAGATATTGGTCCCTTGGTTCGGCACTGCCAAGTGTTGCCGCGTCTGGGCGCAAAGCTACAGGCGATGAAGGGCACGCCGCCGAGGGACCACATCCCTATTCATTGCTGCATCGAGTATCGTAAGTATGGAACGCCCAACTTAGCAGAGACAGAGGCGGGGATCGTAAGATGGGATCATACCAAGATGATGGAGGCGGTGCGCACGGGAGCGGGCAGGGAACCCTTTTTGACGGATGTGCGCACGGCAATGCAGACGCTCCCCATACACTCGTATCTTGACTGGGACTCGCCCGACACCATTTTTGAGGGAATCGAGAAGTGCATGCACGATGAAGCCGCCAAACACTTCGGAGCTAAGCAGGGCCATGGCGAGCCCTACACCTCCTATGCTGCAGAGCGAAGACGATTATTAAGACGTAGAATTGAGCTACGCGGACAGAAGCAGGAGGCCACGGAGGAGGAGACTACTCAGATCGGCACTAAGCTTAAGGAGGTCTCGAAGTTGCTGGCGGCGAAACGGCGG